TATATTTTAATGACTTTTCCTTTACACAAACAAAAGAAACCTAACAGTGCAGCACAAAGCACATGGCACACAAGACAACCCAATAGTAAAAGAAACCAAACTAATAAAAAGCCCACTTATCCAACTAAAGGAAAGAAATACACCAAGTGTGAGTATAAATAGTTGTATACCCCATTACGCATGTACATATGCAAGCTATTACTATTATTATTATTATTATTATTATTATTATTATTATTATTATTATTATTATTATTATTATTTCTTTTTCTCATTCCACAAAAAAGACTATCCCATTATACTGGTTAAAGCATACAACAGCCCAAGCACAGAAAATATAGTAGCATACATAGAATGAAGGCAATAAAGCAACAAATTAACATTAAGAAACAAACATGAAAATACATTACCAACAGGTGGAAAGATTAGTTAGACTGTAGTGTGGATGCATGCAAAAAAGAAAAAGAAAACAAAGGATGGCCTGAGTCACATCACCACACCATTACAATCAGCACACAAGAATACAGGCCAGTGTAACCACAATCAGTAGTGGCACACGCACCCACACAGAACTGCTGATACTGCTGCCGCTGTCTGCACCACCCTTCTTGTTGTTTGCGGGTTCAGGAGGAAGTGTTGTTGTTGTTGTGGTGGTAGTTGCATCTGTATTTCCTACATTTCCTTCTTGGGTGCCTGTTGTTTCATCCTCTGCAGATGTACGTTCGTGCTCAACTGTTGCGGCACTAGAACCACTGCTACCCTCCGTTTCTGAATTGGTAGGGGAAGATGTATTCGCTGCTCCATTTTCATTTCTTCCACTCTCTCCAGATTGCGGGTCTCCTGCAGGCGCAGCAACACCACTCCCCTCAGGAGAAGCACCAGAAACGGAATCACCAGCTCCAGCTCCTTTACCGGGAGAATCATAACCTTCAGTACCAGGTTCATCGGAAGGAGGTAGTGGGCCTTGTTGAGCAATACTTCCGGCATGTTGTTGTTTTTCAGCTGGTGCAGGTGTTTGCGCTGGAGTCTTAATGTGAGGTTGATTATCAGTATCCTCACCAGATGAACTCCCAGAAACAGGAGGACAAGGAGTGCCAGTAGCACCATCAGCGGTAGGACAAGTAACAGGAGAAGCAGTAGAACCAATAGTACCAGTAGAACCAGGAGATCCGGGATCACGTGGAGAACCCTGTTCCGTTCGTCTGGTTGAAGAACAAGAAGGACCAGATCCATCACCACAATTGCCTTCAGTGTTATCAACATTGGTTACACAGTTGTCTGTTCCTGAAGATTTCGTGCAATCATTAGGAAGAGCAGCTTCAGGTCCACTAGTGCTGTTCTTGCATGTACCAACCTCGCCTTGAGGACAAGGAGCACCAGGTAGATGAGGTGGTTGTTGAAGAGGGCCACCAGCAGCAGTTTTGCAAGTTTTACCCTCACCAGAAGCAGTCGTCTCAGGAGGACAAGGACCAGCAGAATCATCTGGAAGAGTTTCAGAAACCGCCTCAGCTGTCACACACAAAGAGACAACACTCAACAGCAAAGCGAGACAACACAACACACGAGACATCATCACGACAGCAAGATTTAGTTTGTTGGTATAGGTCACTTGAATGCAGAAGAAAGAAGAAGAGGTAGAGATAATTAAATAGAAACACTCAATACATTAGAAACACACACAGAGAGAAACAAAGCAAAGCACAACACACCACAATCACTCACACAAAACAACATAAGGAGCAATCGAAAAAATAATTAGTAACACCGAAGAGGCAATACTCCAACATCACTCATAGTCCAATTAAAGACAAATCCCACAGTATCCAGCATGAAACAAAAAAAAAAAACACAATTCACAAAAAAAGAAAAAAAACATAAATCAAAAATACGAACAGCTGATGAAGACAACAAACAAATATATAAAAGTGTGTTCATCTGTCAGCATATATACAATTACAAATAAATATATACGTATATATTTTATGACTTTTCCTTTGTACAAACCAGATAAACCCAACTGTGTAGCACAAAGCACAGCGCGCACAAGAAAACCCAATAGTAAAAGAAAACAAATCAATAATAAGCCCACTTATCCAACTAAAGGAAAGAAATACACCACGTCTGAGTATAAATAATTGTATACCCCATTACGCATGTATATACATGTTATTATTATTTCTTTTCTAATTCCACAAAAAAAAACTATCCCATTATACTGGGTAAAGCATACAATAGCCCAAACAAAGAGAATATAGTACAATATGTAGAATATACAAAATAAAACAACAAATTAACACTAAGAAACAAAAAAGAAAATAAATTACCAACAGGTGAAAGATTAGTTAGACTGTAGGGATGTATGCAAAAAAGAAAACAAAGGATGACCTGAGTCACACCACCACCACCATTACAATCAGCACACAAGAATACAGGCCAGTGTAACCACAATCAGTAGTGGTACACGTACCCACACAGAACTGCTGATACTGCTGCTGCTGCTGTCTGCATCACCCTTCTTGTTATTTGTGAGTTCGGGAGGAAGTGTTGTTGTTGTTGTGGTGGTGGTGGTTGAAGTTGTTGTGGTAACTGTATTTCCTTCAACACCTTCTTCGTTGCTTGTGGACTCACTCTCCGCATTTGTGGCAATATTTCCATTTGCTCCAGCAGCAGTTTCACTGGCATTCTCTGTTTCCGAATTGCTGGATTGGTTTACAGAAGAAGAAGAAGGTTGTGTGTCTCGATCTTCATGAGGTTGTGTATTACTTCCCTGTGCATGTTCAGCTGACGTTTCTTGATCCCTGCTACTGGGGACTTGTGTTGTACCAGGTTTAACTGTTTCTGGTCCACTGATGGGTTTTTGGTGGCTCCTTTCGTTACCTTGCTGATTTTCTTCTTGTTCTGAGGCATCACCAGGTCTACCTTGTTGTGTGCTCTGTCCTTCTGTGGAAACAACAGAAACACCAGGAGCACTTGCCGTTTGGGGTTGTGAGGTGTGCGAATCTGTACGGCCTTTAGTTGCTTCTTCTCCCTTTTGAGTTTTTGCAAGAGAAGGCACCGGCGTGGGTGGTCCTTCGCAGGGTTTCTTTTCTCTTCCTTCACCAGATGGTGCCTCACAATCTCCTTCGTTCACAGTATTTTTTAACCTTTCTGCTTCTCTCCCCTCATCAGGGTTCTCATTACCAGATGCAGTCGTCTGAAGAGCCCCACCATCATGTGGCCCTCTAGCTTCTTCTGCCGCTACCACAACAATGCAGACACAACACAGTGCGACAGTTAGAACACACAACACAGTACGCATCATTATCATTACAATAATTCTTATTATGTCTTAATTCAGTGGTCCACAGAAAAATAAAAGAAGAAAGACGCAAAGAAGAAATAGAAATAACAGAAAATAACGGCATCCCCCCTGAATACAAGAGAGTTATAACAAATAGCAACAACGATAAAATAAGCAGAAGAATGATTATTTACTTTCAGAAGAAACCATATAAAACAAAAAGGTCGATAACACAAACAAATAAAATCCTCAGACATCTTGCCCATAAGCATGAACATACCCTTTGAGTGCCTTCTTCTCAAGCATGATGGCTTCTAATCGGTCTTCCTTTACAGCTGTCTGCCTCTCCAGGTCCGTACATTTCAGCTGCAGTTCTTCTAATTC